CCCAATTTATTAGTTACAGTCTCTCACATTCACAGCCACTTATGGCTTGATACCATATAATTGTTATTTTTTATTTTATCGTATGATGAGGTCCGATTCGCTTGCATATAAACTGCGTATATTCGAAGCACATGATTCATACAATGTAAGCTGGGTAGGGCTAAGCGAGAAGAACCAATAAGGACTCAGAGTTGACTCTAGGTTGATCACGTCGGTTAACGTGTCAGTGGTTTGGCACGGTGTCAAGGTCGTATAGGTCGGTGTTCTTATTGGCGATCTTGTCATGTGATAATCGACAAGGCAAAAAGACATAACAATTTCGAAAAAAATCTTTGTAGTGTTGTGTAGAACTGGTCTAGCAAGAATAGTTAAATTTATTAAAATCGTTACTCGTAAGAAAATTCCAAGTTACTTTGTTTAAGCAGAAGTAGTCTGTACTTATATTAAGTTTACTTTGGTAATGTTGATTCAGTTTGTAACATCAAAGAGTGTGAGTGATATTTCACTTTGTTAACTTATTCAATTCATACTTATATAGAAGTTTTACTATTGACTGTTGAAGGAATTTAAGGTTTATATCTGTGAGCTGATAAAGTTAAATTATTTCAAGACATTTAGAACATTGGAGACTTATTTAAAAATACAAATTGTACTTGAATAAAACTAAAGTTCACAGAGAAATTAAGTAGATATCATTTCATTTTCTAATTAAATCTCATTCCAACAAATAAATAAATCATCTAGAAGTTGAGACAGTGTTGCATGTACAATTGAACAAGCTTTATTCTTCCATAATCTTGAATTCGGTGAAATAGTTTTGATGAATTCAATTAATTCATTTGATTCTTGAATATCGTCTGGTAAAATTTGTTGATCAGTTAGTGGGAATTTATCATCACTTTCTATTAGGACTTCATCCAATGGTTTGGTTTGTGTAAGATTCTATAGAAAAAAAAGGGATTTAAGAAGATTAATGGATATTTTAATTGAAGAGCATTGAAACAAGTAGGTATCTGTCAATTAAAAAAAATATTTTAAAATTACTGGAAATATTTAATATACGTTTTAAGTACTTCGTTTTGTTTAAATGAATGTTAAAAGTAACGGTACATGATATTACTTGAAGAATTAACCTTGAGAGTTAGGTCTTAAAACATGACGAAAACGTCCCATCATATAATCGTCTATTGGATAAGTGACATCTTATCGTGCCTTTTAGTAAACCTAACACTTCATATGGACGTATCTCACTTTAATAGGGACACGGATCTGTTAATTTTTAATATGTATTTATTTGGAGGCCTACCAGAGTAATTAGGTTTCGTGAGCATTTATTGGTTGACCAGATTGTATCGTTACAAATCACTTATTGATTAGCATTCTATTCAACATTTTAAAAATTTCAGGACGTGCATAATCATAACGCATTCACAATTATCCAGCAGTCAGTCAGTCATTCAAAATTAACATTGAATCTGTGACAACTGTGTATCATTCCAAGTTGCCCTTACCACATGAGCACGACAAGATTAAATTAATAAAATAAATGACAAAAGAGTTAAAATAACAGTTTCATAAAATATTGTAAGAAAGACTGCTGTTAGAGGATACCGTTCAATAGGAAGGAAGGAATTCAAGAAATAAAATATCAAAAATAATGTTAAGATCTAAGAGAGTATAGAGAGTGAATGGATCTAAAAATAGAATCTCCAACACCTTATTGTAGTTATTGGGTTGACCCTGACCAGATAGTCTGCACTAGCCAACACAAGTTAATCTAACAGTCTATGATCCCAAGTTCGACCAATGGCTATTTTAGTATAGTACATGTACCTGTTCTGTGTCGCTAGGTTAACTAAGAAATATTTATTCAAAGAAAAATCTATGTTAAAAATGGAACAATCATTCAAACCATATCAATGTCATTATTAATTGTTGTGTTGTCTTCTTTCTTTCGGACACCCATTGGCAATGAGTACCATACAGTAAAAAATCTAAGTTCAAGGCTTCTTGTTGATTGCTTTCAACCAGTTAATATCAAAATGATAAACATTTCTTTTAATCGTAACAAAATAATCACTTACTCTTGTTACTGCAGATGCAGGTGTTCTATCATTTGTTTGATTTACAATTTTACCACCTCTCTGTACTAAACAGAAACAAAGAATAATTGAAAGGTGCATAAAATCATTTTGCTGTGCATAGTATTGTTGTAAAAGAAATGAATCTGATTGATGTAATATGTAACTATCGTGGATTTCTTATCAGTTAATAAATGTCCCGTAAAACAAATTCAAATTTATGTTAATCGATTAGGTAGGTTAAAAGAAAACATTTAAAGTTATTATGAGTCATTTTTGATTTTGACTAATGTTATATCCCGACGAGAATCATGAATGGTAACTCCTGAGAACTATTTGTGGATCAATATGATACATATATTTGTACTATATAATTGGTAAGTAACTAAACTATGCATAATCATGTTCCTCTTATTATAAGCTTTATTTTGACATATAGACTATTATTATATGATTTACCGTTCTTGAGTTATGCCCAGTCTATTAATTACAATCTCCCACATTCACAGTCACTTTTGGCTAGATGTTGTACAAATGTTATTTTCTATTTTATGGTACGATGTGGTCTATTTGGTTTTTATATATACCCGGTATGTTTAAAATACATGATCCATATTATGGAGGCTGAGATTAGTGTTCTGAACTCAACAGGCTGGGTTAGACAAGAAGAAGGACCGATAAAAACTCTAGACTGCTCTTACGAGTTTTATGCGTCATTGGTCCAGTCGATAATTCACAGTTCTCTAATTGGCGGTATCATTATTTCATAGATCAATAGGGCACGAAATCATAAGTTATGACAACTAACCTAGTTATCAACGGCTCTTCTTTTGTTAAATCTATTTTAGTTACTGACTGTTAATTTTGAGTCTAAAAATTTTACTTAATCAGGAAACATTTTCTACTGACATTTTTGCTATACTATTGAAAGACCAATTATTTGTATTTTTTCCATCAACATTATTTTGATGAATTAACTCAGAATAACTACATACAACTTGACATTTCATACCTCTTTAAATACAAACATAAATTGAGCGACACATCCATCATTGTCATCAGTGAGTTACTATCTCACAACAAACCCGGTTGAACTCCATTGGTCACTACTTCTCACTGGAACCCCAGGATATACCTTTCGTGGATGCGCACTGCTGAGGAGTCCCACAATAGGACGAAACGGCCATTCAGTGCTTCCAGGTTTTCCATGGTGGTCTAGCTTCAATTGACTCGTGATCTTAACTATTAAAATAACTATAATATCCACAAAAACCTCTTCTGATAACAATCATAAATGTTTGGAAAACAAATGTTTCCGAAGCATCTATTTTCATATGAATAAGTAATCTTTTTCTATGAATTACATAGTAGTTTATTTAGTATAAACTATTAGCATTTTACCAGTATGAGTTACTAAATATTATGGCCCAGGTTTGACTTGGTAATTTTAAGGAAATTGAGCATTCAGTGGATTGTTATTAATAAAAATAATACATGTGTAATATTCCAATGAAGCTGAAGGCGGCCTGTTTGAATATCTGGGCTACCTGTTCCTGCCATCTAGATATTTCAACATGTTGTCTGTTTTTGTCAATTCCTGAACTGCTCACATATAATTGGCGATCACTCAATATTTGTCATCAGGATCGATCAAGAAATAAGAAAAAAAACTTGATGAAATACTTTGAGCTGTGAATTCTATATTGTACAAAAATATAATATTGAATAAGGCCATTAATAATAATAATAATAATAATAATAATAATAATAATAGAAAAAATTTTCATTATTGCATCGGTATGTTTTATAAATTATTCAGTTATTCAGAAATAAATTAATTGAATTTCCATTAGTCATTATGACTTACGCTTTATTGGACAACTAGTAAGTTCTGGAAGTCCATGGAGACACCGGAGATTTGAACACAAATCAAAGAGGTTTTCAACAGTTTGCGATAAAAGCATGTAGCTAAAAATAAAGAATAGCGAAAGTTCGTAAGAAGTATTCAACATTTACAGTATCCTTCATGAATTCAGATAATATAATGACTAGACATTGTTCGCTTGAACTGTGTAGTAATATTGGTTCAATGCATTCAAGAAAATTCTGACAACATATTAGCCTATTAAGATGGATATAGTGTTGAGAGGGAAATAAGTATTTTATTATTCTACACTAAAAGACTGTATTTTCATTACAAGCTCAGTAGAACTCTGCCAAAACTGAGTGGAAAGATTAATCTATGTGACTGCTACTATGAAAAGCTGAACAGTTGTTCATAACGTCCTACATATGACTTAGTTTTTAAAAATCTGAAACCAAATATTATGTACTGCACTGATAATGTTAATTATACTAATTACTTAAATGAATACTTCTTTTAACAAGTTTCGGATAATGTTGTAAGCTTAACAGAGTCTATCGTTTGAGCCCAGTGTACGCTGACATTTTGTGAGAGATTAAAATACATTGTTTGTTGAGAATCATAAGTAAAGAATATCTTCAATATTGATAAAGTTCCTGATTTCTAGAAGACTTGTTATTCAAAGAAATTGTTACAATTAACTTGATCATTAATAACGATTCATTGAAGACATTCTAAACTGCTGTTAATGAATAAAAAAATAAGCAGTGGTGGAAATATTTAAAATGTCCAATACAATAAAGTTGTAAATAGTTTTTACAATTTACGGTTACGTCATTTGTATGCCGACCAGAGCTGGTTTGTCCAAATTATAATCTATTCAGCGAATAAGCCCAAATGTTTTACGAATACCTTAGAACAACATGTATAAGCGAAAAATATTGTTTTCGATTAAGATTTAATAATCTCAATAGTTGAGATCATGAGTCGAATTGAAACTAAACCACCATGGAAAACCTGGAAGCACTGAACGGCCGTTTCTTCCTATTGTAGGACTCCTCAGCAGTGCGCATCCACGAGAGGTATATCCTGGGATTCCAGTGAGAAGCAGCGACCAATGGAGTCCAACTGAGTTTTAAAAATTTACATTATAGTGTAAAGTTAAATATTTACGGTACTATTTATAATGACAACATAAAATTCAACTGAAATTCATAATCAAGAATGCCATGTAAAAGTTTAATCAAAGATAACTATTTCAAGAAAGATATATTTAAAAAATATTGATAGTATACCCGATTCTATAACGTTCTACAGATGTATTTGTAAAACTTATTTTTGAAGGAAATACTAGCTGGTCAACAGATTGAAAAAAATTATTAAATTCTTCTTCCCTTTTAGCTGCAGCATTTGCCTTGGTCATATCAGGTGAGTATTTGTAAATCATCTATAATTATAATTTATATATATATATATAGGATTTTAGAATAAATAAACATAGATACTAGAATATTTTGCATTCAATAAAAAGAAATCTAAATGTAAGTTTTATGGGATATTGTTTTGAAATCGTATCAACTATAAACTAACGCTACAGTGAATGTTGGTTGGTAAGTGAAGATATGAAACACTAGAGTTCTTATTCAATGAAAATCTATTAAATTCTGTTGTCATACATCCCTAGTTTTATATGTATTAAATGTAGTATGGAATAAGTCAAGGGTGTAGAAGTGAAACCATAATTTTAATAGCCTAAAGGTGTTAAAATATTTGTTTATTATCATGTTTTGTTATTTCACTACATTTTGTGTCTTTAAGTTAATTATCTTTCTTTTTTGAATGTTTAAAGGATACAATCCACTTAATAGACGATTTAATGACTAACTTCCACATTAGAATAATGGATCAAAAGCAATTAGCATCAAAAGTTTGTTATAATACTTTGATAATTTCGGACATTTCTGCATTAACTTTATTTTGTAAGCCTTTTGAGATTAGTTGACTACAGGCATTACATAACATAGTAGAGTGTTAGTTTTTGTAAAGTTTGATAGATAACTATGAAAGCAAATAGTTTAAGTTTAAAAAAGCCATTTCATACCGCAAGAAATCAACTAGAGTAGTGGAAAATAACACATTTATTACTAATAAAACATTTTGTTAAACGTATACTGATTATCGTTAAGCTACACGAATAACAACTAGTTCAATATGAAATTAGGAAATTAACAGTAGATTTCAAAACAGTGACACGCATTGGAACCCAGAATTTTGATTATACAAATAGTAGACAGGGCCATACTAAGCATTGTTGAAGGACAACAAGACAGCTTCTCGACTAGAATACTATTTATAACATGAAAGTTGAGATGAAAACAAGTTAATTGTGTAATATACTGATGTTTCCTCAAACTTAGCTCATTTTAGCAATTAAGCCTTTAGAATTATTTATTTTTACTCTACATCTAAGTGTATTTTCATTTGTTACCGTTATTTCCAATTCATTTATCAGTTAACCAAGGCTGATAGTTTCCACTTTATCAGTGGTATTTTTGGCAGTAATTGAGTTTCTTTCATAGTAATTTTATTTTGTAATAACTGAAATCGTATAAGAAAATATCCGATTTCAGATAAACAACCGAACAATATACGGCAGATTTTTTAAAATGTACATTAGAATTCATACTCACTTTTCTTAGTTCAGTTATTGAATATTTCCAATTATCAGTGTTGGATAGAAGTGTTTCATTATCATTCCCAAGAAATTTAACTTCTCTTTCTCTCATCTCTTTATAAAATTGTTTCAGTTTTTGAATTACATGGTGTTTATAGTGAAACTGTACAAAATAAACAAATGTCAAACACAGATTATTACATTTTGACACAACAATGAAATAGTGTTTTACTCGCTGCAAAAAATTTTAAGATCTTGTTTTAAAGCCTCTTAGTGAACTCACAAGTGAGTAGTGTCTTAGTCCTCCCAAAACTAAAAACATTTGACTATCTAGTTTCATATGGTTTTCTGACTAATACCGGTTTATCATGATAAATATCTTCAGAGATGCGTATTTGTATAAGGGTATAAGATGGAGACGAAGAATAAACTAGGAAAAGATATTAGTGGATAGGATATACATTACGGAAATCACTAAACTGCATCACAAGGCAAGTGCTAACATGGGATTCTTAAGGGGAAGGGAAAAGAGGAAGAACAGCAAACACTGCGTCGGAAATTGGAAGCAGTCATCAAAACGATTAATAGCAACTGGAAACAACTAAGATGAATTTCCCAGGACAGAGTTTGATGGAGAATGCTGCTGGTCGGCCTATGATACTCCACGAGGGGTAACAGGCGTAAGTAAGTACATAGAAAAAAATTGAGCGTCTGGCTTGTCTAACACTATCTTCTTTTGTTCTATGATGACCAAAAATAGTTTTTGCTTTTTCATTTTAAATGTTCTGGGCACTATACAAAGATACCTTTACTGTTCGTAATAGATGATATTTTAATTTAGCGAAAAACCCCAGAAATTCCGTTTTCGATTCTAATTAGGTCATTTCTATGCACACTTTTACCATTTATCATGAGTTAAAACTCCGAACAGGTCAACAAAGTAAGGTAAAGACTACAATTTTGGATCATTATTTATTAAAGTATAAAAAGATGTATTAAACCAAACTGTCCATAGCTACATGATAGACAAGCTAGTATTTAGTACTAATCAATATCTGAATGTCAAAGAATTTACTGTATCACGCTGTACTGGTAACGCAAGTTTTCCTCCTATTCAGGAGTAAGTAAAAAGATGAATCCAATTATGTTGTCAAATAACTCAATGAGAAGTAAGAGCTAGTTTTTTTAGTAAATTGACATTAAATTTATTTCTCATACTCCACTGAAACTACCTATACAAGCTATATAGTGACTCTCCGCATCTCTGCACACGATGCATTTTGGTTTTGTAAAAAGACTAAGTCAACTAATAGCATCCTCACTAAATATCAAACTATTTAATCCACGTTTTCCACCAAACTTATGGGAATGAATTTAAAACGAACAGCTTATATAGTAAACAGGCTTATTAAGTGAGGTGATGTACTTAAAACCTCGTACCATTTCAAGTGGATCTAATGAAGATCAGTTCAACATTGATTATTTAAGAAAGTGTTCATGGTTTGATTTTATTCTAAACTGAATAAAAAGTTGAGTTTTTGAAGCTGTTTCATCAGTTTTAATTTATAAACTGTACGTGACACAGGGTTAGTATGACCTTAGAGAGACAAAACATGGAAATTCTCAGAACGTGGAAGCTCATATAACAGTATTGTTCTTTGGTTTGACAAATATATTAATATTTACCAAAATATAGCAAGCTTACAGTTGGATTAGTTAACGTAAATATTGCCTCTTCTGTATTCGGTTCAGGGATTGGACTTGGTGGACGTTCTTCAGGTTGAATATTCATTATTAAATTTTGTAGCATTCGATATACCATTCGATAGTTAGCTTCCTGTTCTAACTAAAGAAATAGAATAATTCAGATGTTTTTTTTTCAATTTTATTTGATTATTTTAAGAATAGAATTTTACAGTTGCAGGCCACGATAATAACCTAGGTGATAACTTTAGTGCAGCTCTTAAATGAAATACTAATATCGATGTTGCATTCAATAATGCTAACCGCTCATAATACGTGTATCCTTCTTTTCAATGTCTCAACTACTCTTCTTGTTATTCGGACATCTAGAAACAATATGCTATTACTTTTTCGTCCTTTAGTGTAAACGTAATAGATGGATGAATGTTATTAACCATATTTGGTAACTTTTCATTTACTTTTTTTAATACTATGAAAGTTTCATCTATATAGAGACAGTAAGATGTTAGATGACTGATTCCATACTAAAGTGGTCCATTTTGCAGTTTTGCAAGAACAAAGTTTGCCAACCATAGCTACCCCACTCAATTGTCTGTAGTATTCATTGTTGAATCGGAAGTGAACATTCATCTTGCATCTAAGAACTAACTGCTTTATTGCTGATACAGGAGTTAAGGTTTCTATGCTCCTCTTCATAATTTCACCGAAAATAAAATCTAGTTTCAAGTAGAGGAACATTAGTGAATAAGGGCGATTCATCTTATGATACCAAGACGTTATTTTTGACTCACTATACTTAACAATTTCTATGTTCAATAGTTTGGGAATTTCCACTAACCATTTTGCTATCGTATGACAAGCTGAATTATTCATGTCTAAAACGGATAAAACATACAAGTCACTTTTATGTATTTTCGGCTTTGGTGTCATTGTTCCTGTAAGTCGCAACATTTCGAACGCTTCAGAAATAAAAACCCGCTGTTTAATTTGTTTCAATGAGTCTATTAGTTGCTTTACGATCCTCTTTCTTCCAATAACTCAATATTATTTTATAATCAATGTATCTTTTTATAATTATTACATAACGGGACTACTCTATGAGTATTATTTCATTGCTGTAAATCATACTTATACATATTAGTATAGAGCCATGATAACTAATTGGAGAGAAACGTCTTTGATGAATTCGTTCGTTTTACCAGATGCCAACATGGAAATTTTTACTTCAATAGGGTTGGTAATTTTTTTCTTTTATCTACGTATACGTGTATAATGGTTAACAAACCGAAAATGTCAGATGCTGTTAGTGATTCATATCTGGCTTCATCAAACGTTTCCAATGATATTCTCGCCTACACTGATTTAAAACAGTTCTTTCTTATCAATAAGTTTATAAGTCTATGATTAGTTTCATTTCAGTATATTCCGTGTCATTTTAGCCACAAACCATGGAGTATATAACAATGAAAAAATGAAATCAGTAGCTCTTACTCGGATAAATATATCTTTTGCCAGAAAAGAACAAAATTGATGATATTCTGGCCATACAGAAATAGCATGGAAGTGTACGCGGATTGGCAACATTCCTTGAAAGACTGGAGTTGTATCAAAACGCCAAACCTCCTTATAAATTCCTTCATGATGAGCTTTTAGCGTGATTGGCAAGTGAACAATGTCACCTGGTTGTATTATTCCTATAATATTAATAAATAAAACACTCTAATGTGTGTAGACAAAAAACTGAGATTTTAAATACGGATGGATTAGAAAAACCATGTAACTGAAATGAAAACATATAACTATTAATGAATAATATTTCATTAGGTTGTAATTCTGATAATGACAAAGGATAAGACGACTAACAATTAAAATAAAACATGTACACTGAATGGAAACGTAAGTTTTCTGTTATGGTAAGGAGTTTGAAAATCATTTTTCGATGCTTGAAATCTAAAGATTTCTTTTTATTCAACTCCTTAAAACACTAGAAGCTCTTCACAATTGATTGATCACTGGGTGGTGTCATGCTTGTCTAGTCCTTATTAGTGCAGATCGAATGCTATCGATCATGTTGCAATGTGGCCAGCAGTCTAGGTGACTCGACACTGCGGGCACTATGTAATGAGATTTAGGGTTTCCTGTTGACTACCTCCAACCACCATCTAAATCTCAATACTAGAAGCTCTTGCTGATCACAAAATGAAGCATGATCAGTGTGTACAAAAGAAACACTTATAATCGTTATTTCTACCATGGTCTTAAACTATTAGCGCTATTATTTTATTTTTATTTCATCGATATTTCATTTGAAAATAATCGTCTCTCCCTAATTCTTTTCCATATTCTCATCATCTTATTTAACATGGATTCTGATGTCACTTTATCTTATTTAATCCTTCTAATGTTTTTAATAATTATAACAAAAACATTTTAATTATCTTTCTTTATTCACGTTATGATCCAATGTTAAATCATTAATTTTATTCGTGCCCGCATAATCTCTCATTATAAGCAGAGAGCTCTGGAGTGAACATCAACTCTGAGATGCAGGTATATCCAACTGACGAGTCCCAAGTAGGGCGAGACGCGTGTCCTGGATTCCACTACTAACCACTAGCCATCCCTGCTTAGAATGCTTGTAAATTAAGGCCATATCGAGGTAATACGCACAGTATGCACATGTAGCAATATGAGACTGATGAATTGCAATCCGGTTGTTTTTAGATGGCTACAGACAGTAGATAACTAGTAAGCAAACATTTAAAAGGTTCCCTCTTTCCTACCACAGTCATTGAAAGATGATTAAGAAACACTGTAAAACTACTGATTCAGTCATAAAACTGAAAGTTTATTGAAAAGATGTATTTTTGCAAAATGAATTATCGAAAGATGGACAGTCTCGTTATAAAATAATCTCGATGTTTCATGAACGATAACCGTTGAGAATTGAACAAAGTATTTGTTTTTATTCAAAATCAAACCAAGAAGTTTGTAAATAGAAGCTTTTCTGGTAATTTATGATTGTGTCTCAGATGTATTTTCATCTATGTTAATACAATTTTTATGTTTTTTTTTATAAAGATAACTACTTACCTGGTTTAGAGTCAAAATAAAACACATTATTATCTTTGGTATCCAATTCAAAATGATTCTTCCGGGGAATACGCTGAAATCAATGTAATCAAAGTAATCTTAACTGAGCTAAATACAAATTTTAGTGTATGCATGCATGATGAATGATATAAGTTGTTATTAATTTAATGAACTGATCTTAACTCGGCTTTTGTGGTGTTGTATAAAAGTGTAAAAGGGTGTATACTAAGGTTTATTGAATCCTTAGCCAAACGAAAATTCAAACTCCCTTTATTAATTTAAGTTAATTATTGAGGCTACACAGTTTTTCATTTATCTACATTGATAAAATTAAATCCGACCTAGAGGCTAATTGTGAATGAACCATAAATCATGTAATATTATTATTTCAGATAAAACTATAGACTGGACTAGTTTTCTGTGTTTTTGGTTCAAATTTAGCTTATTATGATGATAAATACTTGGTTATTATGTGTTTTTGTAGAGTACAAGAGTTAAATTCGATTCATTATCTTAAAAAGCTTTGATGTATTGTCTTTAGTGGTCCTGGATCTGAATTCAGTTAGATCGTGTGAATGATTGTTATCGAAATATACATCCTGGCTATCGTTTTATATAATCATCGTTAGTGGATGACAGAATTAAATAATGCAAATACGTGAATGAATTTCGAATACGTATATTTCATACAATCGTTGATCCAGACAAACGATTGGCGAAATGAAGCGAAGAGAGAGAAGCGAAATGACGTGAACTGGAGAAGGCATGTAAGCCAACCCCATTTAATCAAGCTTTAATCGATATTTATAGCCCCACAAAAATAAGTTACAGAGATGTGATGAATGAGATAAGAAGTGTACACAAATACGCTCATATAAAAACAGTCAAGGTTGGTAAGTGAATAATTAACGAGGTCAAAACGTGACTCAAAAAGAATGGATAAATTGGCCTATCCAGAAGCCAGAATAAATTATAAGGGCTCAGTATAGTAACCGACACTATATGTCTACAGTGTTCGTAATTAATTCAGCAATGAACAAATTTATTGTCAAGATGTACATGTCTGTATATTCATCTTTGAACGAGACTCACTGTGTGGGAGGTTCCTATGTTGAAACCCAAGGAGTTAGAGAATATTGTGTGAGTCTGATTACAAGTTAAATAATAAGATAATTAATAACAAGTAAATGAATCAAAGGAATTCTATTTGTACTGAAGACCATTTATCACTAGTTTCCAACATAAACGGAGTTGTTTTTTCAGTTATTAGTGGTAAGGTATAAGAAAGAACATTAGAAAACTAAAGTATAATATGTTGAAATACATTTTCCCACTGTTCACAGCAAAATAATAGATAATAGTAATAATATTAATCACATAATCAATGAATATATGGACTTACAGTCCATTCGTATGATATAAGAACGTTTCCATTATTAAACAATTCAATGTAATCTGTTTGCAATATCGGAGATTCATTCTAAAATGACAAATAATATACCATTAAAAAAAGTAAATCCCATAATTTTTAATAATATTACCGTATTAAAGGGTTCTGTGGTGATAAAACGAAAATCATGAAGTTCTGACAGTTACACAACATGCATTATAGCTTAACATACAGATTAAAATGTATAAAATTTTGTACTAGTTGGTGATACACATTTAGAATAATGGGCAGTTTGCAGCTCAGGTGAGTACTATCTTTAAATGCCATAGTTAACATGTTTCGCCGAAAAGAGAACTCTTCGCTGAACTAATCTTTCTTTCTTATTTAATGTCATAATGGGTGTATTCCGTTTATTAACATGTTTTTATCAAGCATTCTGAACCTTCTCATAATATACAACATTCGGATAAATAAATTATCTACCTGAGGATAACCGTCTAAAAATAAATGATTAAAAATATTGTAGTTTTACAGCTTAATAGTTATGTAATGCTGTACGAAAGAGTAGTCAGCGATTTATCCCGTAAATAGAATGAAGAAGAACTTCGTGAAAAAATTACATGCTCAGTGATTTGGAGGTTAAGCGTTTGCGCGCGAGACCGAAAGCCCTGGGTTCAGATCCCGCGAGAGGGATCATGAATGTCCACTGCTGAGGAGTTCCACAATAAGACGAAATGACCATCCATTGCTTCCAGGTTGTCAATGGTGGTCTAACATCAATCATTTCATGATCTTAATCAAAAACTTAATTATCTCAACAACCCCATATTGATATCAAAATTAAACGAATTATTTGTATTTTCAATATTCTTAAATAATTTAAAGGTTAAGAGTGTTATTACGAGTTATTGAAAAAGAAAATAAACCGATTTTGGTAAATTAATAACAAAGAAGCATTTAAACTGGGGGAAAAATCAACTTGGTATACATTCAATAACTTGAAAGATTTTAAATTGATAATTTAGAGAGTTAACATTGAAAATGTATGAAGATATGAAGATATTACTACAAATGAGACATTAAGTAGTTATTAAAGATGATATACATTAACCTTATACCATTTGAATAGATTATAGTTAGTTTTTACCTACGTTATATGCAACAAACAATGTAAGCTCGAGAATGAAAACGATTTAAGGTTAACAATTTATTCATAATACAGATATTCCTGTAATATTTCAGTTTTTATTTACTATACTAACTGGCAAAATATTTAGAAAGAATACTCATATAGACATCAAATGGATTGTAATGTATAGAGTTTAAAAAAGTCAATATTATTTAAGTTCACGCTAAGAAATAATAGCTAGCACTTTATTTGAACTTTCTTCATGAAACTTATTAACCGTATACTTCTGGTTCTAACCTACAGTCTCTTTTCATTCGTTTCTGATGAAAGAAAAATATTGTATGATATTGAAGAATATACAAAATTAATAAACTTACTTCGAAATTTAAATGAATATCTATACCCAATCGTGGTGATTGACTTGAAGAAATCGAATGCCAATTTAAATGATAACCATTCAAATATAAAGATGGTTCATTGACATAGGATTCATTAATTTTCGAATTCAATTGTGGATTTATAGACTTTTCAGTTTCTAATATCTGTGAAACTTCTGGTATAATATTTTCATTTGGTTTTTTACTGGCGTTCTGAACATCAGGAGACTCACTTTTTTATTTGAATTAAAGTTATTTTTTTAAAAAAAGTGGATTATAAGTTCACTTCTATATCAATAATTAAAAAAACACATTGAACCCATTAGACAAGCAAGTGGCTATCAGGACTCATTAGTTAAGTGGATAACGTGATGGCGTTTGAAACGAACGGTACTGCGTTCGAGTCTCAGAGTGGACATCAACTCTGAGATGCAGGTACATTCATTTGACGAGTCCCAAATAGGACGAAATGCGTGTCCTGGATATTTCTTGTAGTGCCACAATGAATAGAAATTTGAATATTTAATGTTTCATGATTCAATGTAAGACATTTCTTGAAAGTAAGTAAATAAATAAGCAAGTTAAATTAACATCAGCTTTTTTAAACTTATGTTAATTAAATTCAGTGATTTATTTACTTATTTCAAAGAAATGACTTACATCAAGTTAAGAAACATTAGAAATATAACTTTTCTCTTTTACTCATTAGGATAGTATAAGGAATATTGTTATTTTTAATATGAACTTTCTACTCAGAATCGATCACAATGGCGTCGGTGTATACACTCCTTGTTTTCCTTACATAAAATCTTTCTTTTATATATTACACCATTGAGTTAACTGCTTCTATGAATCCGGTGTTCGTCTTGCTGTACTAATGAAGTTTAGCAACTTGAACCGAGGCATGTATGTGCCTGATCCTACGTTGTAACTGACTGACAATTTATTTGTAACCATCAAGTTCATTCTTGATATTGAAACTGACAGTATAATTATAGTTTATAATTAAATCCCCTTTTTTAAAGAAAAATTAATTTGATTGTATTTAAATAGATTTGAGGTAAACCTTCAAAATTCATTTCATCATATAGATATTTTGCCTAAATATGAAATCATAAGATTTTCTAATTAAGTGTATTTACAAAACTATGAACATCTTTTCAAGAAATTAATATGTAACCAAGACACAGTAGTATATAATGGTTCTAAATATATGAAATTTAAAATGATGAGCATATTGAAATCATGAAAGATTATTGAAAGATATTGATAAGATCAATCTATACTTTATTCACATTAGAAATCTATAAAGAAGAAATCTAAGCAACTTCATGTCAACTTTGTAACTAAAGGATTAAGCGCATGTCACGAGACTTGTATGTCCTAGATTTGACTATAGATATAAAGTTGTGGATGCATTCTGCTACGGATTCTCATACAAAGACAAAACAGTTATTCAGTGCTTCCTGATTTTTAATAGTAATGCAAATAAGGCCAGTTCATGTTTTAAATTATTTATTTACCTACAACAACAACTATATTGGTAAGACTTACTCTGCTTGATTTTTTAAAACTTTTTGACCAGTTATTGCTAACTCATCCATTATTGGTTCATGTGGCACCATTTGATTTAATAAGTCAGATAATTCTTGAGTTCTATCCATCAAATAAGTGTTTTGGTATTTGATTTCAGTTATACATTCTTTTGAAGCATCATTGTTATTGCATTCCGGTGAGATAATGCCTATTTATAATACAAGTAAGTAAAATATGAATTAAGTTGGCAAAGTGTGGTTGGAAGCCAAAGTTAAAAATCACTAATCGGCAAACGAGTTACATTCATTTTATTTATATATTTTGATAGAGATCAGACTAAATCTGTAACAGGTTATATATTTAGTTATATTTTGATTCATTTACACACTTTATAGTGATGAAAACATTTTCTATCTTAGGTGAAGGATTTTTGGGGAGCTGAGTTCTTCGACATAGATGGTTTAATTGAAAAGAACTCAATATCAACATTTTGTTCACAAATTTTAATTTCATTTCCTAAATTTATTATAACTTCCAATATTGCATTTTATTATTGATAAAAATATAAATGAATAGAATAAGAAGGAGAAAACCGTTGACATACAAATGACTAACCTTTTTCTATTTCAATAACTTTAGGGCATTTGATAAATTCAAGTGGTTTATATATACCTTTTTCTTTCATTGTCATCGTTGTACTAGGAAATAAGTGGGAAGAAAAAACTATGTAAACAAAATGCAGACACTATGACTTTATGATAAAAATTTATTTACTATATATAGTAAATGAAAGTAAATAATAAATTATAAGGAAAGTATACTAACGGCGTTGTAAAGTTATCTATCTGTCCATCTCTCTCTCTGTATATATATGGATAAAGGACTGCGTAGACGTTCAACTTCGTGACCAACAGGCAGGATTCCGTAAGGATAGATCGTGTACAGACCAAATCGCAACTCTACGGATCATTGTGGAACAATCAATTGAATGGAATTTATCACTCTACATCAACTTCATTGACTACGAAAAAGCATTTGATAGCGTGGACAGAACAACACTATGGAAACTTCTTCGACACTACGGCGTGCCTCAGAAGATAGTCAATATCATACAGAATTCATATGATCGATTACACTGCAAAATTGTGCATGGAGGACAGTTGACATAGTCGTTCGAAGTGAAGACCGGTGTTAGGCAAGGTTGCTTACTCTCACCCTTTCTCTTTCTCCTGGTGATCGACTGGATCATGAAGACGTCAACGTCTGAAGGGAAGCACGGGATACAATGGACATCTAAGATGCAGTTGGACGATCTAGACTTCGCAGATGATCTGGCCTTTCTATCCCAAACGCAACAACAAATGCAAGAGAAGACGAAAAGTGTGGCAGCAGCCTCAGCAGCAATAGGTCTCAATATACACAAAGGGAAAAGCAGGATTCTCCGATACAACACAGAATGCACCAATCCAATCACAATTGACGGAGAAGATTTAGATGTTAAAACCTTTACATATTTGGGCAACATCATTGATGAACACGGTGGATCTGATGCAGATGTGAAGGCGCGGATCGGAAAAGCAAGAGCAGCATATTAACAACTGAGGAACATCTGGAGATCAAAGCAACTGTCAACCAACACCAAGGTCAGGATTTTCAATACAAATGTCAAGACAGTTCTACTGTATGGGGCAGAAACCTAGAGAACTACGAAAGCCATCATCCAGAAAATACAGGTGTTTATTAACAATTGTCTAGGCAAAATACTTCAGATCCATTGGCCGGACACTATTAGCAACAACGTACTGTGGGAGAGAACAAACCAGATCCCAGCGGAGGAAGAAATCAGGAAGAAGCGCTGGAAGTGGATAGGACACACATTGAGGAAAGCACCCAACTGCGTCACAAGACAAGCCCTCACATATAATCCTGAAGGCTAAAGGAAAATAGGAAGATCAAAGAACACATTACGCCGGAAAATGGAGATAGACATGAGAAAAATGAACAAGAATTGGATGGAACTAGAAAAGAAGGCAGAGTACGACAGAATGGGTTGGAGAATGCTGGTCTGCGGCCTATGCTCCATTGGGAGTAACAGGCGTAAGTAAGTAATATATAATCTAGGTTTTGTGTTGATTGGCAACCATCAAGAAAGTATACCTGTAACCTTGAGAAGGCTGATATTGTCTAAGGGATTTGAACTCACATCGTTCAACTCCGAACTCTGAGACTTTACTACTATGTTTTCCAGAAGCAGTTGACCTTCTGTAAGATTGAGATATACAGAATTGATTGATCACTGAATAGTGATTGCTATCCTTTAGATGCTAACTAAGATCTATCGACCAAGTTATTCCGTGACCAATATTCTAAGTAACTCGATATTCTGTACCCTATGTTGAAGTACCTGATGTTTAAATGTAGTCTGAAGGAATTCCTGCTTCATCTTGAACTGGAACTCTTTAACAGTGGACACATTGGAAATCAATGTTGATGCAAAAAATATAGCATAAAAAGCAAATACATAGGTAGTTAGTGACCTTATTAGTATTCCTACCAATTCGATGGGCTAGATAAAAATAAATTAGTAATCAAACATTATGTTATCTTAGTGCACGTTGTCAACCGTAAACAGCGTACAACTCATAAATTATATGATAATTTTTGAGTCTAATGTTGCTGTCAACAAGCAAGAAGACGGAGCGAAACTAAAATCTTGAAGAATAGAAATAAATCTCTCAAGGTGACGATGAAGCATCTAATTAGTTAAAACCCTCTTTTCCCACATGGCCCAATAAATACAAAGTAGAAGGAATCAAAATATAGCAAGAAAAACTACTCTGTAATCATAAACCAATTCATTCTTCCTTAAACTTGATAAGGCTTTACATCTTTGTCAAGTGATAAATAATTCAGGTACCTTTGTGAAAATTTTTCAAATGGATCAATAAAGCCTATACAACATCACATGACTGCCATTCCTATCTTTAAGGATGTCCTTTCTGCGAATGCCTGTTAAATATGTACAATGCAGGAGGGATCAGTCATCAGTTATTTGTCTCATAAATGTGCAGCTATCAGAATTTCTCTGCGAATTTTAGAGGCTCTCTGCACATTGTTCTCCATTTCCTTTGCTTCTTTAGCTTCAGAATCTGATTTTTTTATATCACAGCCTTTGTTGCTAATCTTTAGACTCCAAACAAGATATTATTGAAATTCCTGTTATACATTGAGTATTTCGATAAGTTTCTATATGTATGCTTAGTGACAACTCGGTGACCAGCTAAAAATAAATACACTTGACTTTAAGAAACACGTTTCGTATGAAACCAAGGCATACAGAGAGTCATCGATGAACAAGAAGGATCTAATGCAGACGTAAAGGCAAGGATTAGCAAAGTAAGTACAGCATTCCTACAGCTGAAAAACATATGGAACTCGAAACAAATGTCAGCCAACAACAAAGTCGGAACCTTTAATATGAACGTCAGGACAGTTCTGCTATACGGAGATGAGACTTTAAGAACTACCACATTCATCATCAAAAGGGTATGTATTTATAAACAATTGTCTACGTATGATACTCAATGTCCGTTGACCGGATACCATCAGCAACAACGTAGTGTGAGAGAGAAAAAGCCTACTTCTAACTGAAGAGAAAATTAGGAAAGGACACTGGATGTGAATAGGACATACATTGCGGAAACCAGCAAGTCGCATCACATGACAAGCGTCAACCTGGAATCTTGATGTGGAACGGAAAAGAGGGAGACCGAATAACACACTGCGTCGGCAAATGGAAGCAGATATGAAAAGGATGAATATCAACTGGAATTAACTGTGAAGCGTTATCCAGAACAGAAACAGATGGAGAAAGCTGGTGGCCGGCCTGTGCTCCCCCCCACGAGGGGTAATAGTCCTAAGTAAGTAAATAATACAGAGCAGACTACTTGTCACTTTTACGAATTCCAAAAAATGTAAACCACAAGTCTTCATTTCTTTGTGTTGTAAACAAACCTAAACAGTAATTAAAGTTGTAATTCAAAGTTGAAGAACATAAGCAATATATCCTGACATCCAATCTGATGATAAATACATTGCATAAATACTTATACCCATACCATAAATCGCTAGATTCAGCATTTCTAATATATTCCGGTTGATTCCAAAATTCGCTCATATATCTTCCTAAATAAAGATAAAAAAAAGAATCGGGATTATATTTAACGAAGGAATCGTGTTGTAAATAAGATGAAAACTTGTTAATATTCGTTTAAGTGATTGCAAGCTTAACTCATGTAAATCAAATTTCGTATCTGGATTTTCTTTATTTTAAGTCAGTGATACATTTGGTCACTTCAATCATACACATAATTGTCTATCCGCATTCATTAACCTGTCACACCTTACTATGATCGGGTGTGTTCTTCAATAAATCATAAAGAACCAGGTATAAGTTATTAAAGTAGTCAGTTAACTACTTTAATGGTTCATAATGAAGAATGATGTCTGACAGTTAAAGTGCTTAAATGATTGAGCCAACAAGATTTCTATTTATTCTTCGTACTATTTAACTACTAATCGAAAACTTTCTACATAAATTCTCTCAGAATCTTCATTATCCTATATCAGATTTTTTGACAGTTTAAACATCACCACGGTTAGTTTATAAATATAACACATTTTTCATGTAACAAAGACGAGAAATATAATGGGAGAGAATATTTCAAAAGGTATGTATGGTTATCTTTTTATACTTCCGGACTGCAAATAAGAAGAAAACCGGCCAAAACAAAGTAATTATTTAAAATGATTAGGAAATATTATGTGCCTAGACAGAAAACTCAAACCAGTAGCAGTCAAGCATTCAACGATGTAAAGAAAATGGTATAGGTTCAAGTTTGATATAAATCACTTTAAGTAACACGTGACCCAGCAAATATAGGCCGTGAAGGTTCAAAACCTCATCCATCAAATTAATGTCTTTCTCGAGAGTCCTTCCCAACGGCTCACTCAGTTGCCAAACCACATGCAAAAAAATATTTGGAAGACATATTCGTTTGGTAAAAAACACTACAAGCTTAATGCATCACCAATTTTGAATTTGCGTCTTATTGCAGTGAACAAGAACACCAGTGGGGACAACCAAATGTATTGGACAAACTATTACAGGACTTGTTAATAAAATCTAACAATCAAATAGTAAATACGTAATTTGCAAAATGTCCATCAATTGTCTCAAGATGACTCAGACTTCATTGTTCTTGCATTTTCATAGAAATTGCATCCTGTTCCCATTCTTTACTGTTCGATCCTCTTGTCTCTCTGCTGCCAGACATTCTGTTCCTGACTAACATTATATACTACTTATGTCAATATAAGTAGCACACATCATATTATATGGTGTAGATGCAAGTAGAGAGCATTCCTTGTACATACTATTCTTTTATTCAAATATCATAATGACAACATAGATTAAATGAGTTAGTGAACTCTTTTTGAACATGTTTAAAAGAAGTAACAGTAACAAAAACACTCTGATTATGCCACTTATCATCATCAACAACATACATCCTGAAACAGAAGTATTTTGATCCAAGTTTTTAATCATGAGTAGGTAAAATTAAGCACTACCATTTTTACATTTTAAGATAACTTTTTGTCATGAACTGATGCCAGTTAGAGAATAAGTGAAAGTCAGGAAACATTGAACAAATATTCTAACCTAACTTGATACTCAGGTATACACACCTACAACTTCATAGGAAAGTGAATTTGTAAGTTTCAAGCTTTGTAATGAATAAGAATATTTGGACTGTTTGAATATAATGAGTTACAACGGTTACCATTCTATGTTTATTTTGAATGGTTAATAGTTTAACTCACTTCCTTTTCCATCATTGACCAGTGGAATAAGACGATCTATTTTCTCTCTAGTTAGTTGTATTGTATAGAAATTTTCTCCAGAGTTCATTATTAAATCATTGGGTTTTCTTTTCATTAAATCTATGAAAAAAATTACAAAAGAAAAACTAGTTGAATAATAATTAGTTTTTGCATATGGATATTTGAAGGTTCTTTGACTATAATTAACGAGCTATATATTCATACGAAGATAATAAACAAAGGAATATTATGAATTTACTATTAAAACTCCAACTAACAGTTTTAAAATCACTATTCAAGTTGTTTCTTTATCATTGGAAATTTTTCATAATTAGTGTTTCATTCATGAATTGGTTATTACATAATTATAAACTACAGAAATATATTGTGGTCATTATTTGATCATCAGTTGTCATAGTGCAAAGTAAACATATTAATAGTTATATATGTATAATTCTATATTGTAATTATGTTTATAATCTAATCTCTGGGATATAAGAATAAGATTGAATTATGCGAAAGAAGTTTCATAGAAAATCTCAATTGAATCAATTTAGATTATTTAGAGAAAAACTTAAAGAAAGACCTCTTCAGTATCCAGTATTGGGAAAGTATCAAAATACTTGTAAAAATATAGTTTTATATATTCCTTCTCTTTGTGAATAACTTACACAAAAAAAGTGATTTAATCACTGTGTCTTTCATAATTCATTCAATGTAATTGAAAATACACTGTAAATCTTCAAGAAGATATAAATAAAAAGAACTAAAAGTTCAGTGTAGAAAACTAGCTTGGGAAATGATTATCTACGATTCTGGAATGATGAATTTCATCGAGAGTAAATATCACTAGGGAAATTTTGATGAATGAGGATTAGGATCCTCTCCTATTTGAAAGAATCATGAAATATTATTTAATACAATTTAAATAACCGTGGTTACGGTTGATATTCCAGCAGTTAATAAAGGATTCAGTGATTTAAAAATGAACAAATCAATTAACCAAGTTAATGAAGCATCTAAGCCATAACGGTCATTTGTTTCGGTAAAGAGAAATATTCTCATGTGATTTAACTCATTTAACTTTACCAGTATAAGAGGTTTGTGTGAATTGTTGAATTTCGTAGTTTACATCGCTAACCGAATTAAGTCATACGGTTACTGAAAGTCAAAAAGTACCAGATAACACGGTAGTGACTAATTTTGAAAGTTCATCCCCTGAGTTTACGTGAGAAGCCGTGGATAAGCGCTGCTAAATAGTCCCATACTAAGACGCAGTAGCTGTTCAGTGCCTGATGGTTTTCCATAATTATTTGGAAAGGCTAAGTTCACTATGTAAACTACAATATTTCATTTGATAGTATGAATAATAAACGATATGGTAAATTTTGTTATGAGGTTTTGATCACTAAATTGTACATAGATTTTATAAAAGTATCAATAGCTAATACAAATGCATATATGATATTATGTACATTATCAACTACTGAGTTAAATAAATGGTTTTTGTACTAGATAGTTTTTGTTGCATTAATTTCTGTTGTCCAATTTTTAATTTCCAATTCTCCAACGATGCAGTATCACCATTTAAATGTAAATTATTTGTCTCTGGGTTAAATAATTTTTTGCTACTTTGTTCATTTGATGGATAATTTGATACTGTACTATGGTTAATTGTTAAATGTGAATCATTGGAGGGATGTGATCCAGGACTTGTTTGCTCTGGAATACATGATAAAGCAACAGGTAAGTTGAGATTTTGCATTTCCGCCATGGTAGTTTGAAGCTGTAATTGAATTTCTCTTGGGACCATCTATAAAGAACAGTTGTATCCATTATTTATTTGTTGAATTACAGTTTTAGAATGTAATGTTTCTTAATAAAAGAATATTCTGATGATATGGAGAAAATACTGAACTATCAGTCATGTGAAAATAAATGTAGTTTCTATCACAAAATAACACTATCTAGAGAACCCTTGAAAAATATAGCTCACTAGATCGAGTTTTTCTCATATTTTTATGACTCGTAGAAACGCACATCTACCATTCAGCGCGTCATCCGATCGGCAATTTTTCGGCCTAGAAGTAAGTGTGATACTTTCTGACCTAATGATTCAGATCTACAAATTAAGTTGATTGTTATCAGATCTTGGTCCTTGTTAAAAATCAATAATGATTTACCGTTTAACTACCATTTTGGTCATTTCTTCCTACGGAAACTTCAGGAAGTGAATATCATTTCTAGTCATAATAGAGAGTAAAATTATCCTTTTACTTTGGTGTTTTGTATAGATATATTTATTTTAAAGTTGATTTTCATAAAATGTAGAATTACTAAGAGTTTGCTAGTTCAATGTTGAGTGGGGTTGTTACGTACATTAACTACAAGTCTCAAACATTGGTCCTTAAGCTGACGTAATTTTTTTCAGAAACTATAATTAAACTGTACAAATCTCAACAAAACAACTGGGTCAAAATAATTATCAAAAAGCTAAATCCTACAACAGCATCCCATCTAAAAAGTTCTAGAGTGCATTTGTCAGAGAACAGAAAGATCACTCAGACAAATTGAACGGGAAATCATGTTATCTACTATTCTAGTGAACATGGACGGTAAAGGTAATTTACACCGTCACAGATGATTTTTAGTTATTTCACAATGTGAATAACTCGGGCGACATGTTATGTAGCCTGAAATATCTGGGGACCTGTAAGTTTTTTCTTACTTACAGGAGCACTTAGCACATGAATATCTTCAAACACAAACCAACATCGGAGAGGATAATATGCCAGCATATCCAAGATTAGATCAAGCAAAAATTTGAAGGCAGTAAATATGAATTTAAAACTCTTACTTCAAAACACAAGTTCTTACATTCCAACTGATATCTCCACGGGTTAAAGCAATTTGATAAAATATAACAGGATCACCCAAAATGCTATGTTTTAAAAGCGTTCCCTCAGGACTGAAACGTGGACCCAGACCAGCTGCATGCCAATTAATATTTGATGGTCTTCTAAAAGAAAGCTTTTTATTGTTATATGGTATTGAAGTGATTTGTTCTGCAAGCTGAGAATCTCCCGAAGCTTTTCTCAAAACTGCAACCCTTGAAGGTGCATTGTGGAAAAAGTAGGTGATAAAATGAAAATTTAACCGGAAACTAACATCGATAGAACGAATGAATGTGTAGGCTTCGTTATAACATTACTGGTAAAGTTCATTTACTTATTAAATTATATTCATTCATCCATTCGTTTTGCTGTATACTGATCATATCGTTTGAACTGGACGTTTGGAATTATTTTTCTTAACAAATTTCTTCTTAACTTTAGATGATTCCATGTTGTCAATGAACATCGAAATAACGGTTACTTAGTCATTAATCCTACCAACTTCCGATCACCACTTTGCAGTAGAGAGTTTATGTGCTTGTCGTTTAATTTGTATACGTTTCACCTAGGTGACTTCGATAAACACTGATGACATGAGATAATTAAAAGTTGGAACGAAGTTTGTTAAGAAAAATAATATGAAACGAACAATTCAAACGATATGATCAGTATACAGCAAAGAGAGTGAGTCAATTGATATAATTTAAAAACTGAGTATGTTTTATTGTGAGAGTGTAATTGAGAGTTTAGGCAATAAATGTTTAACACGCTAAGAGAAGTAAATGCATAGTTTGGCTAATATATATATTCATAGATACTACTTTGCAAAAGTCTAAAAATATTTGTAGAAACATAAGCGAAGTACTGCGGACTAAAATAATAACACCGTTTGTCGATCGGGTGAATGCAGAGGTCTAAATTATCCGGAGAGTGAAAACGTATTCACACACATGGTTAGTAAACGGTCGAAAGTCACTTACAAAGCAAGGAAAAGGCTGCCAGGACCATGGTAAACTAAAGGACGGGATATATTGCATCTGTACATAAAAGCCAGCCTTAAAACGATGGATTTCCAAAATCCCACCTCACACAAGTTTCTAACCGGCTCCCCTTGAAACCATTTTTTCCTGCTTCATGAAAAAATTTGAATCGTTTTTGATGGAAAAAAACTACAAGAATAGACCACATCTTCAACAATAGATTTATGAACTGATTTTCTTCCACATCCCAGTAACAACAGAATAAATGGCTTGTGGGGATTGTAAGACTTTCGTAGTTTGACTCATTAAATTATCTTGGTTATATCACCATTTGAAACCTGAAAAAACTCAATAGTACTAAAGCCTCATATTAGGATGCACTAACCGTACAGAGATTAAAGATTGTCTTCTAGATGGTCTAGCTAAAGTCACTCCATGATTTAATTTGTGAAACTAATGGAACAACTGAATGACTTGATTGATACAACAACTGAACAAACAATCTGTAATGTTTGGTGAGACTACGTAGCTGCGTTAATTGGAGTGTATAGTAGATGAATTTCTGTTTCATTATCTTACCTCCTGATACTTAGTTAATCTGGTAACAGATGTTGTATGTCACTCGGTAACTACTGACCCATTTTTATTTCGATTATCTACTCTGTTTCACTACTCAATCATATTTTACAGTGATGAAATGCGTCACAAGTAACTTATAATCTTTTAAACTTGTTTAAGCCTCATGAAAGGTACTTTACATCATTGGACAGAAATTAGTGGACGATTCAGTTCGAGATGTTTTCATGAACTTGACGAATCGTAGAAATCCACCGTGAATAAACTGAAAGAAGAAGTAAAACACAGGATGATGTTTGCTTACTTGCGCATAGGCTTAGGTCTATCTTTCTCTGGGATAGTTTTTCTAACCATGACGCGTTTTGATTTTTGCATTGAATTTAATCCATCAGAAAGATCTTGAGATAAATGTCTAGTTTCAAATTGTTTAAGCCTCTGGAACGACAATAGTAAAATCGTAATGGTAACAAGAACGTGCAACAATACACATAGGTAATATACATATTGAATCACTGTCATCTCTATTCAAAATTTATCTATGGCTGTTGAACATTCATTTGGTGTAAATCTCATATACTTAGTACAGGCAGGGATTAGACAAACCTAGTGATGAAAAATACTGAGGCTAACAGAAAGAATGAAATTCGTAAAAAGATTTCTGAGTATAAATCATTAAGGTGTGTGGTGTTTGCGAAAATATTCGATGTGCTTGCCTTTGAGTGGTCCATTTTAACCCACGCTGACGAGCGGCTTAAGCACTGATGAAGTAACAGTCTAATAAAATTGTTGTGGTAAGTAGCATTTTTCTAAACATCTGTAATCTGTTAACTCTAAGTCTACTTAATTCATCTATTATTCACCATATTTAAACATTATTAAGACAACCTAATTCACCTTGATTTTTTGATTACTTTCTGAATTAGTTATCACTATTCTAGTCAAACTTTTGGAATTACTTTATCATTACCCAATGTTTCTCCATATGATTAATACTGATTTTATTGTTATTTTGAAACATATAACATTGATATAATTGGCTAGTAGGGATAATTTGATTTTTGGTTTATATAATGGACAAATATTAACTAGGTAACGACTGTAAACTAAGGAGCGCTGGACTGCTATTTGTTTTAGTACAGGGCTCACTTAAAAAGGATCAAACCCAGGACCTTCAAATCTTATGAGGGGAAATCAATTATTAGATTATTGAGTGGGCATTCGTTGATTCTAGTTTCTAACTGCAGCCATTTTGTGATAATAATTTAAATCCATAACTGAAAGCCTAACCAAAAAGAGTTTCATTCGTTCTACTCTTCATTCCTAGACTAAAGGCAAAAGTCCCACCAGCTTCATCAAACTTCCTGCTTAGATATTTATAACTCCAACAATGTATAATAAATATGTTTGAACAACATAGTACTAATCGATGTTATCAATCGATTTGTCTTTATCCACTATGTCATCATGATCAAACAATTGTAATTGATTCAGGTCACCGAGTAACTTTATTTCATATTTCTCAAGGAGGTGTTTTCATAAACATGCTAAGTGTGACACTGCTTTATCCACCTGATATCATCACATTCACAGAGGTACACAGAGGTATAGAGGCACACATTCATTGAAATCAGTTGACCTGTATTTTGCATACGCATCTTTACAGTACAACGAGAAATATCTTCAGCGGTGATATTTAAACACTAATATATAAAAGATACTCATTGCACAAAACGATTTAATTTTGCCCACAACATTTGGTGTCGATTCCTTCGCGGACTATGAATTGCAACGTCATGATAAAATAAGGATTCATTGTAGAAATAACTGTTCATAAGTTTCATTTGATCGTGATACAAAAGTTTGGTTAGCAAAACAAATGTAGATTTAAATGTATTTATTTTTTACCGGTTTTCTCTGAAAGTGGCTTACTTCTTGTATGCGTTCTTCAGTAATTCTAAGTTGTTCAATTGAACTGTCATATATTATGTGGGGTCTGTTCGATACATTAGCCTGCTCATTTGTCAGAGAATCAAGATCTAATTGTATTTTATCACTGGGAACATCACTTTTGATTTTGACACCTTTAGAGCGATTAACTACAAAAAATCAAAAGAAACTAATATTTGAACACACTTTTAAATACATATTTAGACAGAAATAAACAGTTGAAAGTGTTGCAAAATATAGGACTTATTTAAAAACTTGCTTCTAAATTAACTGTCGTAATGATAAGTGGCGTGTAGACTGAGAATATGAATAGTCAACCAGTCTTCCAAAGGTCGACTGCCTTACCACATTTAAAATTACTACAAAGATTTTGAAAGAGTTTGCCAGGTGACTTACTTCTGAATAAACCAGAGTATACAAGAAGAAAATAGATAAAACAGTTAAACTGTGAATCACACAAGGCGAAATGCTTGCGTTGCTTGAAGCCTAACATCGAATCAATTGAATAGTTTCTTATTCAAGAATCCATAGATGTAGATTAGTAGTGAATCATTCGGCGTTTTATTTTAAGTATCGATACATTAAACAATAGTAGATATGAATCAGGCCAGTAAACTATGTAGTCCTTAAGTTGACAAGCACTGGATAGTTTTCGTAAGTGAGGTAATGAGTCCTGTTTGCGCATATTTTCAATGCCGAAGTCAGTTCAATGTATTAATTAATAAGTAAATGACCAACGATCAAATGAACGTGATATCGAAGAGAACTGCAAATCTACGTGAAATATCGAATGATGCTAGGCAGGACCACTGATTACCAGAATTATTTAAGGCAATTCACCTTTCTCTCTGGAAGCACAGCTTTCCAGTTGATTAATTTAAAGGTTATTTATGCGTCTTGACATGAAACGCTGAAAGTAGCAAGTACCAGAATAAAATCTAATACCTAAACTATTCTTGTTATTTCAGATCAGTTCTAAGTTTAACTCTAGTTACTAACAAGAGGAGGTTTTACAAAATATCTTATTTGAGTTATCAAACTCGAAAAACAAGTATGAGGCCTTGATATAATGAAACTCGAAGTTTGGTATAAGACAAGCAAAAAAACAAGATTAACCAGGCTTATGTGGTGGCAAATGGGCACAAATTTTCAGTGTCTCTTTTGCTTCTAACCTTTCACTTTATTTACAGTAAGGGATCAATATAAAGGAACGGTTGCGGACAGATAATAATTGAATAAATAAATCGTAAACCGTTTATTCCATTGTAACAGTCGGGTATTAAGGTCTGAAAAACAGTCTGACCGCGAAAGCCGAGATGCAATATTTAAGCCTGAGTTCTTGTTTGCATATATGAAGCCTTGTCTCTTCCTTAGACAGATAGTGACACGACGTGGTAAGAGGTTTATTGAACTAGAGTAGATACATTTCCAAAGTTTGATTAAATAGAAAAAACTTCATTTTTGTAATCTATATGTTATAAGTTATTTTTAGCCGTTCAAAAAAGTGGAAGTATCTGAATATGAGAACATATGAAGTAGCCATTACTAATTGAAATTCGGAAAACATTATTCGTCCGATATAAATAACCTCAGAAGCAATACAACGTAATAGGTTTCTTACCATATGTGTCTGACAGGAAGACTTGATAAAAACAGCAAGAACCTTAGATACAAAAACTTCAACAAAACCGGACAAACTATATTTACAGAGAAAACATTAAATATACGTGGATGGCAACACTAACAAAGATATTCACAATGCAACCCGACCAATCTACTTCACAACTGAATTTACCGTCTTTTGTGTCCCTACCCTCCAATGCTGTCCGACGTTGGTAACATCAAAACATATAGATAAACAGTAGAAAATGGCTAACAAATCTTATTCTGTGAAAATTGACTTAGCCAAGCTAGGACAGTTGAGCAAGCGCATTCATTTACAATACAGTTAAAACTTGTATTGTGGTCAGTGCCACGTTTTACAAGACTGATAACCCAAGGCAGTGAATGATATCAGACAAATTCTAAAAACCCACATAAAAAGTTAGTGGCGTGTATTTAACTGTAAAACATTTTACACTGATTATCGACAAATAACAAGCGCTTCTAGAGACAGGTTTGTCAAAAAATACGCTAATTTTACTGACCGATTTCAAAAGATCTCTAAAACTACATATATGTGGACTGCAATATGTATGCATATGATGAAAACTTTATAACGAATATCGAAAAAGTTTCTGGTGTATATACACATTGAAAATGTGGATACCTATCTCAATGTCAATTTACACTGAAGAACGTTGTAGAGAATATGACAAAACAAACAGAGAAAAACCAACCAACATAACCCTTATTCCGATACAATTACACCCACTAACCTTTGCTCATGAGTTTTAGATTCTCGTCAAAACGTTATTATGGTGATAAACACGTTTTGACTATTTTAAACAAATTTACTGAGAACACAGTTTTATGATTTCTGTTAGCTCATAGTAATAAACAGACAGCAATTTTAATAACGACATAAATAATGGGAAACCATTTTTACATTCAATATCCATTGCTTTATGTGTACTAATTCTGAACGGCTATTATTAAATTAGCTAACTAATGTACATGCCCTCGCTGGTTTTTAGATTAATTCTATCTCCGTCGTCTCTTATGAATTATTGACCAAGACCTGTGATTGACAGTTACGATAGTGTTATGGTATCCTTTTAGTGTCATTTTCACTACGTGAGACTAATAGCATGGATTCGTATTCCATAACACTAACGGGATAACATTTTCCCTCACGCATGGATAGGAACATTTATCAACCGAGTGAACTTTGTTTTCGAGGGTTATACCTAAAACAGCTTACAACTAACGTTCATTGCAAAACGGTTGTTTCATCTTTGTTCTTAAATATATTATTTTATAAGTCCTTTTGATTATCTTTTCGAATGCACACAGAACCTGATTGGCACTTCTTTTACTAGAACGTCAGGCATTACATATTTCAGTGGTGATTAAATTTACAATGTCCTCAGTAAAAGTAAATTCCTAACTGGAATAATTTGGGTCATTTCAATGAGGCAAAACTATTGAGTAAATACTGTCCTTCTAGACTTCCTCTAAGCATTTTAAGGGGTCGACCACACTATTCTGTTCCAGAAGGTGGATTCAGTCAGTGTATTCGTGTGTCTGATGGTGTGACTATAAGATTACATAGACAGAAGATTTAAAATTCCCATAGTTTTCTCTCCTCAGTCAGACTGCTTTAAAGTAACAGATGTGCTCTAAGGTTAAATGACTAAATCCCTATTATCACAGTTTTACAATCATGTACCCAATTCTCTAGGTCCTCAAACATTTTTACGCGGATGGTCTCAAGATTTGGAGAGAAATATTGGACTAGGTCATAATTTTCGGTTGTCGGAAGGACCATCAACGTTGCGGTTATTCAATGAATAACAACGCCGTTGCACGTACGACATTTATAATCGAGGATCACGTAGCTTGTCAAAGGGAAAGTTAGGAATAGAGGAGTTCGAAAACATTTAGAGAGTGGCCGTTGTGTCAAGAGTTATGTGATCTAAGTTGACTAATTGCAGTTACAAGTGAGCGGCTCGGTGCACCGAATCAGGATCTGATGCAGATATTTGGCTAAGGTGGGTCCTGAAAAATCAGTGAGGTGATTGTCAATGCTGTAAGTTTGTAGAACCAATTATTTTGGGGTTTAATGTCTAAGCTGAGGATGAAATGTATGTCCTACGTGCTTCGTACATGTTATCTTCTTAACATGTAGAGGATAACTGTTCGTCAAAAGTCGGAGTATGGAAGTTTCTGGACACATATATTTTATAAGCACATCAGTACGCAAAGATTACATGAGGTGGTGATGGAAGCCGGTAGACATGGCCACTTATTGAATGAGTGACAAGGTATCTATGGGCATAAAAGGGATACGAAGAGCTCATGGACACTAACTTATCATCGTATACACAGGCTTAGTTCACATAAATGAATGAAAAAATGACTGAAAAAATAAAAGTGATTCATCTTACAAGCGATTACAATAACTCAGCTAGACGTGCAGTGATAAACTGCCACAGGCTTATATCTTCATTTTCCAAGAAGGCTTGCAAACGACACACACATATATCACCTTAAATCTTCCTCCATCTCAGTAGATTTAGGAACATTGGTGATACTTTATTTACTCCATACTCCCTATTTGATATCAGTGTCACACTCTCCATCACGGTAAAATGCCTGAGGATGACGCAACGTTTTCAATAAATCTCCTACCAACACTCTGAAGTCAATAAAGAGTTGTCTGTCTTCGATCTTTTTTTCTGTAACGAGTCACTGTATATCCCACAAGTTAGTGTATACACAAGTTCAAAGATAACTTGTGGTGATGGTTCGATGTTAGTCCAGTGTCCCTGCGACGTGTTACTGAATTGTTAACTGGTGTTTTCATTTTAGGTCGTCAGTACTGATCTACGTTTCGAAGACTTCGACTATGTCGCCAAACTTAAGATGCTTGTAACGACCGAATTGTTAATATTAGGTTTGAACGCAGGACTAATGAACTGAAATTTATTCCTTTAAACCAGACTACATTCTCCTGTATTGTGTATACAGCGTTTTAGGGTCACTTGCAATAAATTATATCAAAACATAAACTCTGTGCTCAACTTGAACGGTTCTAATTTAAGAGAAAGAACAAATTACATAAAAATATACAAAATACCTTAAACAGTACAGCCTGTGCTGTACAGTTGAAGGTTTCTATAACAAAAGTTAGTGTGCTAAACAAGAAAAGAAATAGATAACACAAAAGAGTTCAATGCGTGGAAATTAATGAAATATGCCGGATTAACTATTCTACTAAGACAACCTAAAACATGCTAACTCGGATCTTTACATTAAGGCTATGTGGTAGGCGCCGGACGAAAGAGAAATCAGACAATAAAAGACATAGTTATTAGTTTTCTCAACACTTTACTCTCTATATACATTTTGTGTTCTAATAAATAGCCTTCCCTATTCAAACCCTGACTTCCCTTCCTTCATTTGATTTTACTCCACCTTGGCAAATATCACAACTCATTGTTCTTTATTACAGCATTCTCCCATATGGAGCCTCTGGTCACATTTCGCTCTAGCTACGAGAGCTAGTATGAGTTCAATCTAATAATTTATCTTACCTCTGTCTGTTCCACTACAAGATGTTAAGTATTGTTTATCGTTCATATCCAAGTGGCTTGCCGCTTCTCGGTTCCGCTTTTTTTCAGAATCTTGCTCTGAGGGCACAGTTATGTAACTTCTGACATCTGGAACAAGCTGGACGTACGTGTTTTCCGAAGGTCATAGATCACACCAAGCCCTCTACAAGTCTACTTTATAGCAACTATACCTCAAAAAGTTGCACTACATAAATCCTTGGCACGACCAAAATCCTAACGCAATTATTCCGAGATCGGATCTGGTGTGTAACGTGGATGCTATGCCATTTTAGAGATTATTTTGAAGATTACTCAGTATATCTGAAGGAATGAAATCATATTCACTTTTATAGACTATTTTTATTTAACATGCATACTGTGAAATAATAAATGTTGTAAGTTGTAGATCATGCCTGTAAAATGGCATATACCTGTATTTGCAGAAATATTATATTCCAAACAATATGGGATCAGACATCTATCTACAGGGATTCCAGCAATTCTTCCAAGCACACATTCAGAGATTAACAGTCACATACTGAACCACACTGTGACCTTAGGCTTAGTCAAACACGACCTTATTGTCAATGGTCCGGCAACATGCAACAGAAAATCAGGTAACAAAAGGTAAGTCTTCAATCAAAGTCACATAATAATAGCTCAGACGAGGGAAACTGGAGCACACAAAGTGTGGCTAAAAGAGATTTGAATAAACGTTAGAATACATGACAGGGAGAAAAAACAAATGAATGAAAGCACTGTCCAAGAATATGCTATGGACGGATTCCCGGCGTTTTCTTTCCGTTACGAAGATTTTTAAATTCTATTACTCAACTCTGATCACTTTTACTACTTTGTTCATGTTATTATTTGATTATCCCTGGTCATCAGACACTTCCCATATCTGCGGTAACGAACTAGGTTATTGCTGTGACTGCGTCGAGAAGCAGAGCGAGGCTCTAGAGGAGCGGAAGAGTTTCCAGCCAAACAACGCTTTCCAGAATATTAATGTTGCGTGCTACGTTTAGGTGGTAGCATAACTTGCCTCCTTGAGTATCGGCTGAATTATGATGGTGTTATAGCCAGCGCTAACAACTATAAATACCTATACTTTTCTGTACATCCTCGATTCTTATCCAATGATAACTTCCCTTGTTTCTTCCGTCTTCCAATTTGCAATTGTGGAGTTCCACACGTTTGAGTGCCATTGGTCGTGTATCGTATTCTACCTTAATCAAGTAGGACACGTAACAGATATGAAAGGAGGTCATCATAAATTCAAGATCATGTATTTAATCGAGTCAGGTGGTGTAATTAGCTTTAGGGAGGTCCTCATTGATGGTTTTTAGCTAACGTTTCATTCTAACATATGTTAGTGTCTAAGATGTTTGCGTCGTGTCTATTTCCTTTCAGATTACCGGTGCGATCTTCAAAGCCAACATATTTTGTGGAACCGAAGATTTATCACTCATAACTGTACATTTACTCCTGTATATGATAACTTTATACGAACCGTGAACACCTGATAGTCGAAAAGGGGCATGAGAAAGTCGTCCCTACAAACGTTTTTTTGGATAGTCCGCTTGCAGCACTTCCCCAGATATTCTTATTTCATTTCCCTAAATTCACTTACAAGCTCTGAATCCTATGAAGAGTATATATACAAGTGGTGTGCGATGATTTGTGGAAAAATAATAAACGTCACCCAGATAATAAAATAACAGGCTAGTAATATGTGTGAAATTTATAGACCTTTTCTGAACATCGATTGGACGGTGGTCGTTACTTCCTGTACATATAAGAAGATCAAACACTGATCCAGTTGGTACTTCTCTATTAGGCTACGGAAACCGAACTGATATGTCTTTGTTTAGTAAACTGATCGGACCGACATTCCTATGGACGTCGATTGTTGAAGGAAGCTGATATAACAACTTCAGTTGGTTGTCAAGAGTTGTCCGAAACATCTTTGAAATGTCGAAATATTACAGCCGAAGTACTAGTTCATTTCCTTTTATGGCGTAAGTATTGTTTTTCCTATTATTTCACAGTGATTGCTGAAAACCTTGTGTATTTGTGACAGGGAACCTCATCCTCCGAATATTCTTTCTTCAATCTGAATAAAAACTTTTTCGGCTACCAGTTTGTTTTATTTTATGGATATAATCAGGA